GGTAGGAAGCAAATAGAAATTATCTAAATTATAAATTATATGCTTACATATGCATGCAATGATCGTTACTAAGAGGACAGAGTGGTAGATATATAATTTGATGAATAGATTCAGAAACTTCAGACTTCTGATTTTAAGTAAAACAAAGGTGATGAAAATGACTTTTATGTATAGATCATGTAATACAAGCACTCAGATCATATAATTAACACAAATTTTAATTCAAGGTCAAAAGAATATAGAAGAATCCGAGAGAAACTCATTCAAGGAGTACAAATAAAGTTCATAGAAGCAAGACCACTCAAAGATCTACCAGTAATATAGGATCAAGAACGTCAATGGAAAAATTGAGAACTTTTAAACGGATAATCCATCACAGGAGAAAGGTAGGTTAAACATACCTAAATATGTTAATTAATTAAATCTATTTATTATGAACTATTTTTTTCAGCTATTCGATGGAAACGATTTAGATACTACCACCAGTGATGACTCGGACACAATGACGTCAAACGTGAAGCAAGAGAAAGCTAGTTGTAGTAAAAATATAGATGCGGGCGAGGACATGGTAAGGATACAAATAGATATATAAGATTATCTGTTGATAAAGTTATTTTCATAAATTGATTAGAAGGTACAGTCTGACAGTACAAAGTATATTGAAGGGAATTATACTGGTATAGTGAAACTAGGAGTGGCCGATGATCATACTACCACCAGTAGCGATGCGGTCACAATGCCGGTTCGGCTGCAGCTCCAACACCTGCCCAGTTTTATCAAGATGAATTTATCTACAGGCAAGGTAAGGATACAAGTAAAAATATAAGAATATCTAATGATAAAGTTCTTTTCATTTAAATAAATTGATTAGAAAGTTGTGTTTGAGAAATCAAACGATACCGTTTTCAAAAAACAGGAAAAAGGATATAAAGATGTAATGAAATTGGAATTGAACTTAAAGTTAAAAAATCGGAAAGAAGAACCAAGTTCTAGTAAGAAAGCACATATAGATGCATGCAAGGAAAAGGTAATGCTACAAACAAATATATACGTTTTTCTGTTAATAATGTTGTTCTTATTAAACTAAATTAATTAGACCCTCGAGACTGAGAAGATAAAGTATAAAGTCTCGAAAAGACAGGACAAACAATGTACAAGAAATTATATAGAAAACGTCACATTGGAAGTGGTTGATGATAGCACTACCAGTAGCGTCTCAGATAAAATACCGTCAAAAGAAATGAATAAAGACCAAGCTAGTTGTAGCAAGAATAAAAATACTTATTCAGACAAGAGCAAGGTAAAGATACAAATAAATATAAGATTTTGTGTTAATAAATTTCTTTTCATTAAAATAAATTAATTAGATGCCAAAGACATATAAACCAAAAAGCACTGGATATAAAAGAAACTATTCGGGCAGGATTGTTAAAATGGGTGTCCTAGATGAAGATACCACCAGCAGCGACTCTGACACAATGCCATTAAATTTAAAGTTAAGAAAACCTAGACAAGAAAATCCTTGTTGTAGTAAGAATATAAATAGAAGAAAGGTAAAAATACAAATAAATATATAAAATTATCTGTTAATATAGTTCTTTTCATTGGCATAAATTAATAATATATGCTGCGGAAAATAAAAGATGTATGACAAATATGATAGACTTACCTTCAGAAAACACACACTGTTTTCTTCTCATTAAACTAAATTATATTGTTACTTGTTTTTTTTTTGTTTAATAATTTGAATTCTAATTTTAGCCTACTAAGAGCATTAAAACCGAGAAGAAATCGAAGATAGTAACTGGGAGTGCGAAAAGGAAAAATTCGAAACCGAAGAAGCTAATTATAGTGCCATAAGATTAAATCAAGAAGGGATTCAATATTATAATAACTTACAGTTTATTATTAATAATAAGAATTGTTTTATCTATAAAATATGTATTATACCATTTTAATTTTATTATAATTGTCTTTGATTAAATATATAAAATATATATATAAAAAAAGAAAGTAATAAAGAAAATAATAAGTAACGAAATTGAAATAATATGCATTATTGATTCTAGCTACCAGGAGACTAGAAACGAGAACATTTGGAAGCAGCATTTTGTATTTTGCTTGACTTTGAAATGGTCTCTCATTTAATGCGCATGCGTTCTTCTAATAGTTGCTTTTTTGTACGAGAATTACAGCTAAATGGAAGAAACCACAGTAATATTTGAATACACGTTGCATCTATTACAGTTTCTAAGAAAATCACTAAAATGTGTAAACTTTTCGAACTGTTTCCTGTAATAGAAGATCATATAGATTCAAATATATAGTATTTTTTTAAGATAATGGTATATGATATAATAAGATGAATAAATATAACAAAATTTAAGTATTTATTCAAACTAATTAATCTATAAAAATATTAAGAAAATAAACATACTAAAAATAACAATAAACACCTATAAGATCTAAACAAAATGAATTTTCTGTGTTCATCGTGTTGCTTTCTACGTTTATTAGCTTTTGACTTGGCTACATCAGGAGCTTATAATTTATGATCCATATCCGCCAGCTCGCATACTTCCTTCTCCAAGGGCTAATTAATTAAATGTATTAAGATAAACTTTAATCAAAAATATTATTTACCCACATCTTTAAATTTTAATGAATCTTTCAACTTTCGCTTCATGTTAATAGGGCGCATCTTTCCGAACGTTACATACTTTCTAAAAGCAGCCTCCACGTCACTGTCGCTCACATGCTGCTAGAACAAGAATTTCAGTAATGGTTAATAATATTTAAGTAAAAAACTGATAAACCGCAAATGTATTTCGTATTTAGCTTCATTTGTTTACTAACCGCTCTTTCGTTCTGTTTTTTCCTGTTTTTCTGTTTTCTCCTTCCACTACTACTGTTCTGATGACTTGGACTAGACCCTTCTGCAGGATGTATATTGCCATTCATTCGTAAAGGCGTTTCTCTACTAACCTCCTGGCTACTGTTGCTCCCATGCTGCTAGAACCAGAATTTCAGTTATGGTTAATAATATTTATGTAAAAAAATGATAAACCGCAAATGTATTTTGTATTTAGCTTGATTTGTTTACTGACATCTCTTTCGTTCTGTTTTTTCCTGTTTTTCTGTTTTCTCCTTCCACTACTACTGTTCTGAGG